ACGGTCTTTGCCATCCCTGCTCGAGTTACATCTCGGGAGCTCACGATTTCTCGCCACGCGGCACGCGCTACGCGCGCGCTCCACGAAGGCAAGAAAGTTCGAATATTTTTCGTCGAATTTGAATCAATAGAAGGTCGAAGGTTGTGTTTGTTTGTTTCTTTGTTGAAAACGGTATGGCTGCATCAAATGGAGAAGCTATGAGATCATTGAAAAGAACAACCGGATGGAATGAATTTTACAGACAAGTTGCCGTAAGTGCTTTAATATTGTGCTTTTATTGATTCATTTGTTAAGAAATGCTAAGCCTATATACGTATTAATGACTTAGTAATATATCTATTGGCTCAGCACGTGGTCATTAGATAAAAGCATATAAACACAATGAAAACTGGAGAAGATTATTCAACAGTTTCCTTTTCTGATGGCCATTCATCTTGGAATTATTTCGAAGTAAACCATGTCAGTTTGAGTGGTCTGATCATGTTGAGAATCACATCGACAGTTTTGTATATATCAAATGCTTATATGATTACAGTTTGAAATTGTAATATGTTCCTAAATTTCTGTAATAGCCATCAATAAAGTCAAGACTTGAAGTCGATGCAAACATTGGCAAAGTTTCTACGGTTGCATCAAAAATGTGGAGGCAGTTGGGTGAACGGAGAAATGTAAGTACATGTGGTATTGATATAAAATTATTGAATCCCTATCCTGTGGTATTTTCCATGGATATGGGTACTCGGGAACCAAGATATCTCCGTGGGAGATACCTTCTACAAATAGTCATGTGGACATGTGTTGAAGGTTATGTAATGGCAAGTACTTCACATATGCCTAAGCCCACATACTTCATGGAATCCTGTCCTGAAAGCTAACACATAACCCAGAACAGAATAAGAGGCATGTACATGAAGTAGTCTCCAAGGTTATGTCAATATAACCCCCCCCCCCCCCAACCGGGGAGGGGGATTTAGTGGGCAAAGTGGGAAATTTTGATTGTAAATATGTCCCAGATGATGGGGGACTTGGACGACATTTTCTCTTGGTAAACAATGTGGGGACGAAAACGGGGTAATGGATTCAGTGGTTAACATAACTATTTCTCTTGGATCGAGAGACATGTGGGAACATGTCCCGGGGGTGGAGACAATTTCGCTCTATTACTACCCCTCTAAGTTAAAATCCCCACCCCACCCTGGTTTGGGGGGGGGGTTACATTGACTGGTGCATTACATTCTGGTGTATCCAAGCTGGTGTGCAGGGTTGCCAGATTGCTGAATAAATAAGCCAAATATTATTATCAAAACCTTTGTTTGCTTTGTTCGAAACAAAGACATTGAAGGACGGTTTATAACAATGATTGGCTTATATATGCAGCAATCTGGAAACCCTGAGCCAGTGCTTTTTATAAACCCACCTTGTCTGACATTTGACAGAGAAAAATAGTAAATTGGTGCATTTTCCTTGAATGGTTTATAATTTAACATATTCAGATACAATGCCCACCGACTGCCGAAATCATGACATTTTACCAGAAAACTGAATTACATTAGGTGGAATGCTGTTCAATCTGGTTTTGTATCAGATTAAAATATATTTCTATTAACCCATTTTACTCGTCAAGGGCAAAGTTTTGGGCATTAATGGTTAAAGTACTCCTTTAAATAATCGATAACAAGCCACATACTAAACTACATGTATCCATCCTTTAGGAATGGAGAAATGAAGCCCAAAGAAGAAGAGAAGATCTCGACACTGGGCTAACCGAAGAAAAAAGGCAGTGTATGAAGTGCCTTAAGTATTTTAATCGAGAGAAAAATTTTCGCTATCACAGCAAAGGTTGTGCTGCAATCAATTGCAGTGAGTGTGACCAAGTATTTAGCCACTCATCATTATTAAAAAAACACATGGATAAAGTTCATATGAAAACATTCAAATGTGAGGACTGTGGAAAAGTTTTTGCTAGTAAGCGCAATCTTACCAGACATCTATCTGTTCACTCTGGGGAGAAACTTTCTTGCCATGTCTGTGGAATGCAAATTAGTACAAAAACCAATTTGGATCGCCATCTTAGGAAGCAACATCCATTCTTTGTGTAAAGACAATTCAACTCTGGGGCAGAATTTCAGGTTAACTAGTGTGTATATTCATTCTAAATCTTGGCTAGAAATCTTCAAAAACCTTGTATGTTATGTATATTGTATATTCTTGAAATGTCAACTAATTGTTATTTTACATAAAGTATCAACTACATATTTACAGAGTGGATTAACATAAATTAGAATACTGTATAAAGTTCAAAACTGTTTCTACAGAGCCACTTGCATGACGATGCATTTTCTCTTGTCTAACGGCAACTACTGTATGAGAATATGTTACCAGCATGATCCAGGGTAAATGAGAAAGATACCAGCAGATAATGTTGGTAGTTGTAGTTAAACAAGTGACAATACATCATACAAATGTTCTATTGACAATACAGACTGGAAAAGTACAATGATGCATGACTAACTGTACATCAACAGGCGTGCAGATTGATTATCATTTATTTTGATACATATCTTGTTTTCGACTGCATCACATGAGATCCAGACTTCTTTGAACAATTTCGGTTTTCACGAACACTACGTGCCAAATCATGACTTTGCCTTGCTTTTTTCCTGGGCACTTCAAGTGTCACTGGTCTTCCTTTGCCAACTGCTTGACGACTGCAATTTCCCGACTTGCGTTTTCTATTTGGCTGTACTTTAATCTTCTTACCATTCTTGCCCCTGCAAAGCTCACTTTGTCCAAAATCAAAGAGTGCTGAGGCCAGTTTTCCATTCGGTAAACTTGAACTGGTGAGTTGTGTTAATCTTTCTGAGAATCGCAAGGCAGCTTCACAAAGTTTTGCATCTTGACTGCTTTGTAGCATTTCTGTAAGAACAGTGCATGCATTCTCGACTGAAGAAACCGCATTTCTCACCATCAACTTTGCTTTGTCTCCACCATCACTTGCTTCAGGGCTATGTGTGGTCAAGTTCAATTGAGAAGTGGTCATTGGAATTCCATCAGCATGGTCTGCAGGCTGTTGTGAATCACCACCATTTACATCATCATGTGTTTTATTTCTCTGTCCACGTAATGAGGTATAGTAGGACAGCGGCAATGAACCGCCAATTCAATAGCTGCCAACTTTTGCCTTTCATCTGGGTCAGAAATTGGCACAAAGTTGACACAGGTGGCAATATTTGCAGCCCAAATGAGGTACTGGTGCTTGCAAGGCGCACCATCCTTCCCTCGGTAACAGCTGCACACTCCAAGAAACATATCCACACTATATCTACAGAATGTAGTAAGATGACACTATATTAATCTTTGAGAGAATGTACCTTGTAACGTGGCAATGCACCCTGATGCCCCCTACTTTAGTATTTTATTCTGAGTATTTTATTTTGAGTGCTGCCACTCAATGGGTTAACCAAACAAACTTCCCATGCACCCTCTCAAGTGGCAATGTAACCTGATGCGCCACAGGCTTTAGGAGCAATGCAATTTGACAACAATAGTATTCTATTTAAATAGCAGTTAAAATAAAGTGTATGGCACCTTAACTGTTCAATATCTTTCTTGAAATAGCTTTTAAATCTACAAAACATTTACATATTTATATGCAAATACGTACCAGAGCTATATATTTTCAAAATCCACCATATTTATTTACATTAGAACCCAAGCCTATGAACCCAAGCTATCGCGGTCGCGGTTTCACTCGAGTGATTTTTACGGCGATAGCTTGGGTTCTAATGTAAATAAATATGGCAGATTTTGAAAATATACAGCTCTGACACATATTTGCATATAAATATGTAAATGTTTTGTGGATTTAAAAGCTATTTCAAGAAAGATATTGAACAGTTAAGGTGCCGTACACTTTCTTTTAACTGCTATTTAAATAGAATACTATTGTTGTCAAATTGCATTGCTCCTAAAGCCTGTGGATGCACCCTACTTTAGTATTTTATTCTGTCTAATGCCAGACTATTTTACTTGTCAAGTGCAGAGTGACGCCAGTCAATGGGTGAAGGTACAAGAGTCACCTCTTGACGAATAAAATAACCTGGCATTAGACAGAGTAAAATAACAAAGTAGGGCATACCAAGGTGCATTGTAGTTTTATGGGTTAAGTAACCAGGAGGCCTTATTGACGAGTAAAGTCGTCTGGCATATGTAAGCCTAAAAGTTTGTGTGAGGTCACAACCATAGCAAGCTACAGTACCTTAAAGTGGAAGTCAAGTCCGTTCTGCACATCGGTTCTGCTCATAACAATGTGAGGACCTCTGATGTAAACATTGCCCAAATTTCGAATGTTTCAAATTTTTCTCAACATAAACTCTTTCATATTGATTTTAGAAGCATAGCGGACCAAAACGGTGTTAGATATTCAGACAGTACATCATATTTTAAAAAAATACAGCAGTTCAAAATGTAAACAAACCGTTTGTTTACATACAGACTTGACTTCCACTTTAAATCAATCAATACATTATGTCACCTGAACTTAACCATACCTGACATTTTCTTTTGAAAGACTTTCAACTTCAAACACATCATTCGGAAATTTCTTTACGGTTTCTGTGAATCTCAATTGCTCATCTTCAGTGGGAAGAACAAAACCTTGGCCACCATCTTTCTTTGTCTTTCCCTTACCACTAAATCGCCTTCTGTAATGACCATCAAAACTACCATCTGCTATCGACAACAGTTTCTCCTTGTAGTGGTCCTCCAAATCCACCAGGAGTCGCTCAAGAAGGGCCACAATGTTGTACTCTTTTGTCCTTTTAAGAATAATATCTTTCAGAACAAGAAATTGTGCTTCAACAAAATTGTTGGTGTGATTTCCTCGTATGCGAAGACTGGAACGATAACAATGTGCAAATGCTTCTCTGTCAGAATATAGTTCCTCAAAGTATAGAGAAGCATTCTCATATGGCTCTATCTCGTCAAGGAGTTCATTGTAATATTCCTCAAATAATTCTTCGGTATCTGCCAAAACAGCCCTTTTAAAAAGACTCATAATAGGTGGTCTGTCTGTTTGACTGATAGCATGATTCTTATCCAAAAGCCACCGCCATACTTGCTGCAGAATGTGAAAGGTGCACAAAAGCATGTTTGTGGATGACCAAACTGACTTTAAAGCACTTCTTTCTTCCTGGCAGTTGTCAGTGAGAATGACAGCAGGACCATGCTCAGGACCATTAGCATAAAATGCATCTTCTGGTAAGCATTGCTTTAACATGGAAAAACCTTGAAAGAAAACATTTTTAGTAAGCATACAATAATTATGTACAACAATATAGTTTCCATCAGTACTTGATCAAGTAAAATACATATATCATGTAGATATACAGTATCTATCAAATGTGATACCTTGATCGAATAAATATCACATCAAATTACAGTATACATTACCGTAAACCTCCAACTATAAGCCCTAGGCTTATATTCTTTCGTAATTTTTGATGGGCTTATACAAGGGGGATAATATAGGGGGGGGGGCTTATACATGGCGTTAGTACATGTGGTGGGCTTATACACAGGGGGCTTACATTCGGGAGGGGGGCTTATATTCTAAGGTTTACTGTATCACAACTTGCTAATATTTTTTACCTTTTTATACAAACTGGGAGTTGAGGAGCAATAGCTGTACATTACAATGTAAAAATTATTAATACAATAAAAAAAATTTAAAATATTGAGATTTGCAATGTTGTGTACTACATATAACCTCAACAAAGTGTCATATACCGAAGACATTCCGAGATCGAACCGAAGAATGAATGTGACTTTCACTTGAAATATCGACTTTGTATGTGACACTTTGTTGAAGTTACATAAGTATCTGTACACAACTTTGCAAAAATTATTATATAAATTGTATTAATATTTGAATAAATAGGTGAAATAAACATTATAATTTTGCATTTTTTGACAAATATCACTGCCACCCCCACCCCCCTATTTATACAGAGTGGGGTTTACTTTTTCTCTGTAGGATAATCACCAAGATTAGTTGATAACTGTTATTAACACTAGTGATATAAACTTTGTGTTTTACAAGCATATATTATAAACAAATTTAACAATTATCAGGGATGGAGGGGGGGGGGGGCTACATTAAATGGAATGGCCCAATGGCATCTGTTGTCACACTATAATTGTTGAACAAAACATGAAAAAATTATTCAAAAAAAATTATTTCCAACCTACCGACCCTAATTTTTTGGCGATATAAAACCGGAACCACAGGTATTTTTTTTACGCCTAAAGCTAATTCTGGCATTTAAGGCAGAGTGAAGTGGGGGAAACAAATTAGGTTTTGGGTCTGTATATATACATACCATGTTTCAATGTGCTTTCTTTCTCATCACTGGTTATCAGTAAGCCACAAGGAAGTGCACCTGCAACATTAGCAGTGCAAAGAAGGAACACCTTAAGATTATGCTCCTCAGTGTTTGATGTAGAATCCACAAAGATGAGTTCTCCACTTTGTGGAACACACTTATGTATGCGTTTCATCAATGGCGTCACTATGGCTATTATCAATGGAGTATTATCACCACCATACTGTTGATATTCCACCGAGGCATCAGGGTTAGCTTCGTGGAACTCATCCAACTTGGCAGATAGTTTATCCAGCATTTCACCATTCTTTCCACCAAATCTCTCCTTGCCATACTGCTGATACATGTAGCAAAAGTCCCGTCTCCTTGGTACCATGGAGCGATCTGCTTTCTTCACATGATAGTCCAGGTCGTTCGAGCAGCTAGACCGGAATTTCTTCAGGAATATCTGGCGTGCAGTAGATGGGGTTTCACCTGCTTCATACAGCTCCTTAATTTCTTCGATGCTTGCTGTAGACAATTCCTTAAAATTTGATGACTCCAAAGTACATAGTGAATGGTTGTGCTCCCATTCAATATCAATAACACAGTTGTTTTGTGCATCTATCTTTACAGCCATTTGAAATGGGCAGTTAGTATTTTTCACTCTGGCAGCTGGATTCAATTTCAGCTTCCTCTGGGGGTCCTTACTTGGACTCCAGCGTCTGGTGTCATGTTGGCATCTATAGTAATGCTGGGTCGAATAACCCTTCGTTTCTCTCTTCTTTGCTCTAACTTTGAGAGTTACATTGTTGAGGGCTTGAAATTCGGCAAGCCATCCTTTTAAATCATCCGACGAAAGATTATCTGTAGTTACCTTCAACTTAAACTGTGATTCAGTACCTAAACATTCATTGACTTCGTAAAGGTAATCCTCGGGAAGCTTTTCCAAAACAGCACTCTCAAATTTCTGCTTTTCTTCTTGTGTCTGTTTCTCACAATGGAAACGGTGATCGACTTTCTTTAACGCGTTCTCTAGTAAATCATCAAAGCCCTCTAAGTTTATGCTTGCCGCCATTTATATTTTTCACTCAAAAATAAAATTTATATAAAAATTTTCACGAACACACGTAATAATGCAAACGCGCGCGTAGCGCGTGGCGAGAACTCGCGAGCTCCCGAGATGCAACTCGAGCAGGGATGGCAAAGACCGTATGGGATGGCAAAGACCGTTTACGAAAGGGAAAATTGCTTTCGGCGAAGCGACTATAAAATTACTGTCAGGCCTTCGATTTAAAAATATAACTACACAGCATATCAAGTAACTATCCGTATACAAATAAGTAAATACACAAGAGACATACCTTTGAAAACAATATCCATGTATTTTATCAGGTCTTTGGAACTTTATAATAGAAAATTTGAATAAAAATCTTTTCTCTTTGAATGTTTCATGCTCCCAAAGGATCGAACTTGGCGCTTTGGTGTCAACAGGTCGAATTACTACAACACGTGATATATTCTAAGCATGTTAATTGGTTGAAACTCTGGAACTTCCACTTGTCGCAAATTATATTCAGCAGAATTCAGCGCAGGACATTCCAAAAGTTCAAATTACAGATTTACGCAGCAAATCAAAAATAGACTAAACTGATATATACTGAGAGCAATGACAATTCAATCGTCGCGCGCGATTGAACAATAAAAAGCCGATACTGGTAATAAAGCAATCTGACTTGGCAACATTCAAGAAAAAGCGCGTCAACCCGCTAGGTCTTGTGATGATTTTACACGAACTGCAGGCTTTCACTACGAATTTGTATATGATTAATTCCTATGTGTAATGGTCGAGTTATATTACACAGGCCGAGTAAAAACTAGGCGGAATATTACTCGATATTTTCACTCCTACTACAATTAAATTAATTGTGGAGTAGAAAATATAAAGTAAAATTTACTTCGTTATTTTGATTATGAGTAAAATTTACTCCGTTAAATTTTTTAGTTAAATTGACCATCAGTGGAGTATATGTTCGAATACTCATATCGACGACTGAAGTGTAGTTTTAACTTCATTCTTGCCTTTTGGAGTAAATTTAATTCAAAATTTTCACTCCCAATTTTTAATTCTCAGTGGAGTTAATTAAAATAACTCATTCAAATCAGCAGTGTACACTCAACTAAATGACCAATAAAAAGTTGGTTATAATAACTTTTATAAATTGGTCGAAAGATGACCAATTTTTTCGACCAATTAAGTAATAGTCAAACGAACCAAATTTAATTGGTCAAATGCGACTAACTAATTAAACAATTGGTCAAAATGACCAATTGCCAATGGTTGCAACCTAAAAAATTGGTCATTTTAACCAATCAGTTTTTACAGTGTACTA